GGAGGCCACGAGGAAGTTGGGGACTCGCTCCACTACTATCGAAACATGGGGTGTATCTTTCCATGTGCTAGAGGAAGATTCACTCTCGTTTTGCACATTTCTACAGTAGTGGAGAGAGGCCCTTGTGCTCACACACGTGCTAGTTCGAGATGCATCTGCCCACAATCATGGCCAGTAGCGTATTACGTTTTTTTTTTTCCTTTTGTTTTTTAGATTTAGGGCCTCGCTGCACTACTCTCGACATGCACAAAAGACAAAAATATTGGCGGTGTATCTTTCCATATTCTAGCGGAAGATTCACTCTTGTTTTGCACATTTCGAGAGTACTGCAGCGAGGCCCTTAGTCAAAGCACCCTGCCAACGAAGCAGGCGCTTTCCATGGAAATCTGACACTTGCAACCAACGGGGCTTTCTCACCGTTACTCACAGGTTCTGTATCTGTCTGCTTTCACGTCCAGAGAGTGAGAGCCTTTCTTTTCTTTTTTTTTCTTCTAGATTTTGTACCTCCCGTGTTTCCCTGAGGGCTGTAGCTGGATTCTCACGTGTACCCAAGATTCTGCATTATTTTTTATTTCTCTTCTTTTACTTCGTTTTTTTCTTCTTCTTTTGTTGCTTCTCTGGTCGTTCCTTCTCGTTTTCAAAACGAGCCACCCCCCGCACCTCTACCGAGGCTCTACCTGGCCTTTACCGACCCTGTAAATGACCTCCATGAATTCAGGAGGTCGGACTTTTTTGGCTGGGCAGGGTACAGCTTCCCAGTTCAAGTCTTTCTTTCTTTTTTGTTGTTGCATGGATGATGCGTCCAATAACTGTTCTCAGTCTTGCAACAGAGCTGTGTGTTTTTGTGTGATTTAGAAGATGACCTGGGCACCCTCGCCATTTTCTCCACTGATTCCTTCTGCAATCTGTTGCAGCTAAAGTTCTCAATTCACCTTAGCTCTTTCGGCTAGGGTCAGTTCTCATACCTTATGCCATTAGCCTAGTAAGCATGAGTCATCAGCTTGTGCTGATTACGTCCTTGCCCTTTGTAGACACCACCTGTCACTTCTACCGATTGAATGGTCTGGTGAAGTGTCTGGATCGTGGTGATTTAGGTGGTTTGCAGCTGGGGGTGCTGTGAGAAGTTCAATGAACCTTATCATTTAGAGGAAGGAGAAGTCGTAACAACGTTTCTGTAAGTTAACCTGCGGAAAGATTATGGAAAAACTAACAAATACAAAAAAGAAATCTTTTGGATGAGAGCTCACACCCTCTTGATTGACTTCATGCGCATGCAATATACCAGTCTTCACAGCAAACCAATCACGGTTCACACGATACAACCATGCTAGAATTTTATTTACAAACTCGAAGATATACACAGCAGATGTCTTTCCTCAGCAGCTATGGCCGCCGGCAGCATCAAGCAAGCAAGCAACTCTCTCTCTCTCTCTCTCTCTCTCTCTCTCTCTCTCTCTCTCTCTCTCTCTCTCTCTCTCTCCAAGCTATTGCGCTGGGCATTTCGGCTGCTATTAAAAGCCCCAATCCTGTCTTTGCGGCTTGTGACCAACTGGCACAATCACGCAGCAGCGTTTCCGCGACTGTCTCAGCAGCAAAAGGTGTTGATGCTGCTTGCAACTTGACTTTTGTACTTGGTGCAGTTTGAAAATTAGACTTGTGACATTGGTCCTTACAGTTCTTGGCCACATCCGGCAATGATTCGAACAATCTCAGGATTTTCCTGGGGCTAAGCTGAGCTTGACCTGTGGCTGACATCTAACTACTGGCTCCTACGNAGCTTGACCTGTGGCTGACATCTAACTACTGGCTCCTACGGCCTTCTACAGACTTCTACTGACTTCTACTGACCCTATGGACCCTCAACTTGCCAGTTTCTGTGCGGTACCCACCGGAATGTTCTGGTATGGCCTATGGATGGGTCTATGTGCAGGGAGAAATTGGGACATGGTAGCAGGAGTGGGTGCTGTGACACGTGAATCATTTCACTGGTGTGTTGGCTATATCATGTTTCTACCTTCTTCACCGAATACAATGTACGGCCATTATTGCTGCGTTTAGACTCAAAGTTGCCCAAATACAGCTATAATCACCGTACGTTGTATTCAGGGGAAGAAGGTACTGGCTTCTCCCGAATATAACGTACGGTCATTCCAGCTGTATTCGGAGCAGCTTTCAGTCTACAGAGCTATAATGACAATATGATGTACATTCTATTCTGGGGAAGACATTTGTCGCATACCGTAATGGTACAGACCAGAGCAAGAACCGACCTCTCTCACATAGTACAAGATAGCGCAGCGGAAGGCTAATATACCAATGATCCAACCAATCAATGTCGCCATGCAGACCAAATGTACATCATCATCATCGCATGGTGTGAAGGGACCTGGCGCTCACACAGGAAGAAGGCGCCAGTCCCACACATACACAGACGAAGAGGAGGGGGGTTAGACGAAGAAGAGGGGAAGATGGGAATGTCGTCAACACCAAGTCTTTGTTACAGGTCCCAAATAATCCCTCGTCCAATGTCTCAATCCCAATGTCGAGTCTGAATCCAAATGTCGTCAAGTCTCCAAGTCGCAAATCTTTCTCTCTCTCGTAGTCTGTAGATACTGAGAAGTGAGATAGCGAGAGGGTGAGGGAGAGATGGTGGATTTAGAGCAGGAAGAAGATGATGGACTTAGAGGAGGAAGAAGAAGAACTCTCTCTGGCGCCTTGTTGCAGGTACATCGAAGATGAAGCTGGAGCTATGGCGCCACAGGTAAGTCTCCCTGGCCTCCGCCAACTCCCTCTCTCTCCAATGCTACTCTAAGCTGCTAACAGCGCCCAGCGCTGAAGACTACTGCTAGCTGCTACTACTGCAGCGCTCCTGCAGAGTGCTGCTGCCGAATCCTGAAGACTGCCTCCTGCCTCCTGAACTGCGCATGAAGTGCCCGTGAACTGCCTGCAGCCTGCAGGGCGGGTCAGTCTTATATAGTGCTGGCCCGTCCAGGACGCTGCTCTTGCCAATGCCAAAACGTGCCAGACCCTGGCGTTGAAGTTCAAACAAAGGTTGTCTTGAAAACAGGCCCAAAATGGCATGTGCTAAAACGCTGGTCTGGTGCCTAAGTTTCAGGGCAGGTCAATCTAATGAGGGCCTGAAAACGGCCCTCCGTTTCAGGCTGAAAAGACTCAGGGCCTGGAGGGCCCTTTTTTTAAGGCTGAAACGACACAGGGCCTGTAGGCCCTTGTTTTCAGGCTTTCAGGCTGAAACGACACAGGGCCTGTAGGCCCTTGTTTTCAGGCTTTCAGGCTGAAAACGACACAGGGCCTGTAGGCCCTTGTTTCAGGCTTTCAGGCTGAAAACGACACAGGGCCTGTAGGCCCTTGTTTCAGGCTTTCAGGCTGAAATGACACAGGGCCTGTAGGCCCTTGTTTTCAGGCTTTCAGGCTGAAACGACACAGGGCCTGTAGGGCCCTGATTTTCGTCTGGTCGGGCCCTGCAGGCCCGTGTGGATAGCCATTATGCCACACATTATTGTATGATGGGTCAGTGTATTGGGAGAAGATCCTTGTGGGTCCATTTGAGCTGGTGTCCATGGAGCACATCTTGTTGTTCTCAATTTCCAAACAACCTTCTAAAGTTTATTGACCACGGACTCTGACCCTGTTGATCGATGCCCTTCTACGACCGTCTGATCATGGTATGGGCAGCGGAGATTTATCCTAGAACGCAATGTTTTGCACTGAACCTCTTAGTTCAATCACCAGTGAGTGCACACAATCACACCACATGCATGTGCGAGTTCACACGAATTTCACACTGAAGGTCAGAGAAATGAAGCGCAGCTTATAATTCCAACAGATTATCATAAGAGCAGTAAGAGTTCAAGTCACCAGCTCTCATCAGCGCATAGCAAAAGGTAACCAGCATCCAGCATAAACTCTCAGGTAAGTATCTCTTCCTCACTGCTCTTCTCTCTTGTGTATCTCTTCCCCTCGCTGGTCTTCTCCCTAACCATTTCCTCACTGTGTCTTCTCTCCCTTCATGTGTGCACACTCACTTAACTTCTACTTCAAGAATCTACTCTAAATACACCCTACTGATATGCCTACTAACCCTCTAAAGTCTACTGCTAACACTCTGCACTGGCACAGCTATGGCTGCCTTCTCCCTGCCAGCGCAATCTCTTTCTCTCACTCTTCCTTTCTCTTAGCGCAACACTCTGGCCTCAGCGCTCTGCCCCTCACAATAGCGCACAAGTGCACCAGCACTTCCACGCTTCATGCGAATGAGCCATCTACCAAAGAAAAGAAAACCCGAGTAGTCTAGGATGCAGAGCAAGCTCCATGCTGAGTCCATGCGATGCAACCTAGGATAGAAAATGTCACAAAAGCAGTAATGTCATAGCTAACAGCCCAAGTGAAAGCAACTAACTAGTATACATGTGCTAGGAAAGCAGAAAGTAATGACAACTAAATCCTAGAATGTTGGAGGTAGTGGCCTCAGTCTAGAAACAGCTGACTAGTGTACAAGTCTTGAGAACAGCCAAAGCAAAGACAACTAATCCTAGGAATGTCAGAGGCAGAGGCCTCAGTCTAAGAGCAACAAAACAATAACAAGACAATCATATGTCACAGGGGGGGGGGGGGGGGGGTCGCAAACCACAGGGTGGGATGGTCTCTGAGGGTGGCAAATGCAGCCTAGGAGTCGATAACTTCTAAGGGCATCCACACATAACCACGGGGAGACACATGTCATCAGGCTCAACGAGGGTAGGGAATTGGGAGCGAACAGAACCAATGACCCTAACAGACAGACCATTAGGGCGGGTAATGCTCGACTGAAGGGGTGACCGCTCTATGTAGGGTCGACCATGCAAGGGAATAAGGGAGCCTGGTATACTGGGCGCACCTAGATGAAGCATGCAAGGCTGCCTAACTAGGGCGTGAGGGCCGGTCCAGGGTAGAAAAAGTAATGTATAAGGGAATCATGTAAATGACTCCTAAGGTGAGGGAAGTCGGAGCTAGATCCGTAAGCTGGGAAGCCAGGGCAACGCTACGGTCCCGATGCCTATGCGTATACCAAGGGAGAGCCCAACTGAGAGGAACCTGGCTAAGGGAGACCATCAGGCAACACAACCAGGGTACTGTACAGGGTAAGGTGGAAAGAGAGTGATGACGTCTGAAGTAGGTAGAGCTGATCATGACGAAGTCCGTGGAGCTGCCAATGACGTCCATGAAGAGAAGTTTGGAATGCCGTCGAGGGAGAGTCACAACGTCGACGAGCTGAAGTAGCAAAACTGGAGTGGATGGAGTACTGAGAAGTCGAAGACGTGGGAAGAGAAGTCAGAGTCAATCGTCGTATCGAGGAGGACGATGACGAGTGCGTTATGGACACTCGGAAGCATCCGGCTGCTGCTGAAGGTCTGCCTTAGATGGAGCAGGCTCGACTTCAACGGTCTCCTCAACCGAGGGAGAAGGAAGAGGGTCAGTGGGCTGAGGAGCAGTCAACCCAGCACGACGAGCACAATTATAGGCACGCACCAATCTTTTCCATGAGGCACTGAAATGTGGCTATCCTCATACCTCACTGCCCCGCTTAACCCTAACTTCCAACCCTAATCCGAGATTAGGTTAGCCCTAACCTAATTCGGAATTAGGTTTAGGTCGACTAACACCTCTCGCCAGCAAGTAAGTCCGCTTTGATACTTATTGTTACGATCCTGGTCATTCCCAAATGACACCTAAACTGACCAGGTGGGCTGGGGAGATTGACCAATTTGACTTTGAATTGAAGCCAGTAAAGGGTAAGTACAATGTTGTCGATGACACATTGAGTCGAAGGGCTGACTTTTTCGTTGCCATTGTCACATACTTAGATGCACGTACCGAACAACAGCAAAAGATTAACCTGCGTACAAAAGGGATCCGGTCTATAGCCAGTTGATTGGCAAGGTGCAGACGGTACCTCACGAAGTCCCGGACTATAGAGTAACACAGGGACCCCTCTTAACCCTAACGTCCAACCCTAATCCGAGATTAGGTTAGCCCTAACCTAATTCGGAATTAGGTTTAGGGTGACTAACACCTCTCGCCAGCAAGTAAGTCCGCTCCGATACTAATTGTTACGATCCTGGTCATTCCCAGATGACACCTAAACTGACCAGGTGGGCTGGGGAGATTGAYSARTTTGACTTTGAATTGAAGCCAGTAAAAGGTAAGTACAATGTTGTCGATGACACGTTAAGTCGAAGGGCTGACTTTTTCGTTGCCATTGTCACATACTTAGATGCAAGTACCGAACTACAGGTTAAGATTAAACCTGCGTACAAAAGGGATCCGGTCTATAGCCAGTTGATTGGCAACGTGCAGACGGTACCTCACGAAGTCCCGGACTATAGAGTAACACAGGGACTGCTGTTTGAAAAAACAGATGTCCATGACCGTCTATGTGTTCCGAACAGCGAGGAAATTCGTAGCATAATACTCGTAGAAAACCACGATACTGAGGGGCACTTCGGATGGAGGAAGACTTATGCTAACCTCCTACGCTCCTACACGTGGCCAGGAATGAAGCATGATTGCATCTCCTATGTGCAAGGCTGTCAGGTTTGTCAAAGGAACAAAAGTTCCACACAACCTCCCCTTGGATTACTCAGACCGCTACCTATTCGGTCGGGACCCGGGGACTTCGTGTCTATAGACTTTATGGATAATAAGATAAAGAGCACAAACGAGCAAAGTCAAGTTATTGTAATAGTAGACCGGCTTAGCAAGTTTGTTGTGTTTGTTCCACTCCCTAGAGAAGCAAGGATCGAATTGGTGATTAGGGTATTCTTTAATCATTGGGTAAAATATTTTGGGCATCCCTTGACTGGTGTAAGTGATAGGGATTCGGTTCACAAGTGAGCAGTGGCAGCAACTAATGAAGGTATACGGGTCCAAACTGCCTGTCTTCAGGTAGACACCCTGAAACAAATGGACAAACTGAGCAGATGAATAAGCTGCTGCAGCAAGTGTTGCGCATGTACATCCGGCCAGATCAGATTGACTGGGATGAACATCTGCCAAAAGTTGCAAGTGCCTATAATAACTATGTGCATCTAGCTACATCAAGAACGCCTACTGAACTGCGTCTTGGGTGGTGCCCACGAAGACCCATTGGCTGTCTAAACCCTGATCAAGTACAGAGACTTCCGCCGGGAACTAGGGAATTTGCTATTCAATATCAGAAAGATTTGGAAAAAGTTAAAGAAAACATTAGTAAAGCACAGCATCAAATGATTGAACAGGCTAATAAGCACCGCAGACCCTCACAAATTGCTGTAGGAGATTTGGTCTCGGTGAAGTCAAAAGAGTTCCTTCCTGAGGAGAACATATCCCAAAAGTTATTACCTGCCTATAGAGGTCCATGGCAGATTCTGGATGTCATCGGTGTTGTGGATGGCCCCTCGTATGTTGTTGAAATTCTTCCACATTTGCACACGTATCCGGTGTTTCATGCATCAAAGTCGCTCCCTTGCGTAAGTAATAACATGTTTCCATCACGGAGATCTATGATTCCCCCTGATATGGATGGTAAGTATGATGTGGATAGGATTGTTGGGGAAGATGTTTACGGATCTGGACGCAGGGGTAGACCACAGCGACAATATAAGGTCAGATTTGCCTATAAAAAAACCTGCAGAGGATCGCTGGTTCACGAGAGATGAACTAATAGAAACAGCACCGCATATTGTGTCATATTATGAAAGAGCTAAGAGAGGAGTTAACATAGTAGATAGATAAAATTGGTAATTTTCTCGGAGGACCTTGAAATTAGGCCGGCGAGAGTGAAAGGCCTTCCACGATTCAGACCCCAAATTCGGGTCTCAGAGTCAGAGGCCCTGGTCAAGAGAGGCCGAGTTCGTCAAATTCAGAAAAGTCACAGTCGGGTACCTCAGCAGTCCAGTCCAACAGGCACCCAGCAAACAGTCACATCTTAGGGGCAAGAGTCACGTCTCATAATGAACAGCCATATTGAAAAGTCACATCCCATGAGTAAAAGGGCAGTACCACAGGCAAGAGTCGTGACCCAGAGGTAGGAGTCACTGTCCACAGTCAAAAGTCACGTTCACAAGTGAAAAGTCACGACTCAAAGGCCCAAGCAGCAGCAGACCAAAGGAAATTCGGGAAGGTTCCAGGCCTTGACATTCGGAAGCAGACAGGCCGTGGGGATGTGGTACCGGAACCAGTCAGGACCCAAGAAACAAAGGCTGGCACGAGTTAAAGTGCACAGTAAGACTACAAAAGGACTGGCCAGCTTCCCATTCGGGCAGATTGCTCATTCGCAAGAAGTGTGGAAGTGCTGGTGCACTTGTGTGCTGAAGTGAGGAGCAGAGCGCTGAGGCCAGAGTGCTGCGCTAAGTGAGGGAGAGAGAGGAAGATAGCGCCGGCAGGGAGAAGGCAGCCATTGCTGCGCCAGTGCAGAATTGTTAGTGCTAGTTGTTAGTAGTGGACTCCAGAGGCGTTAGTAGAGTTGACATGGGTGTATTCAGAGTAGATCTTTGAGTAGAAGTCAGTATGTGTGTGCATGCATGTAGGGAGAGAAGATCCAGCGAGGTCATAAGCTAGGGAGAAGACCAGCAAGGAGGGGTGATACAACAGAGAGAGAAGAGCAGAGAGGAAGAAGATACTTACCTGGGTGACTTCTGTTGGGTGTTTGGTTACCTATGACAAGCGCTGTTGTGCCCTGGTGACTCGGAACTCTTTTGCTCTTGTATAACTTGTTGAAATCCATAAGCTGCGTTATCTGGTCTTAATCTCTCTGGTCTTCAGTGTGAACTTCGTGTGATCTCATGTATGCATGAGGTGTGAATATGTGCGCTCACTGGTGTTAAACTAAGAGGTTCATTGCAGGTGCAGCAAGTTTTGGTCTATGAAAGAAGCATATGCAAGAATAATGGACTAGTTTCGTTGTCCTCTCTCTTGCCCGTGCTGTCACTTGCCACCTGGGTGGGTGGGTACTTACATGAGGCAGAACTTTGCGGTGCTTTCATTGTGGAATGTGCAGGGGTGTAGGACCAAGGCTTTTCATTTATGTGTCTCAAGGAGCAATCTTCTTTGCATCCTACGAGTTTGCAAGAAAGCTTCTTTCGACGGCAGTGTGGCCTCTGGCAACAAATCAAGCAACCGAACGTGTTCCAACTCTGCCTGTGACTGCTGGTGCATCATCAGAGGGCGAGGAAGAGATTCATCCCACAACGAATGACTCTTCTCAAGAGAGGCAATGACCTTAGAGGGGCAGGGAGGTTCCTGTACTTTTGGCTTGCCCACTAAGCTCTCGCTCTCTCTCTCTC